GCCGCTTGCAACCTCGAAAGAATAACCTTCTCAGTTAATTTGCCGAGGGTGTTTAAGAGGGAAATCGGCCTATAAGAGGCAGGATCAGCCGGGTTATTGCCCGGCTTTAAATTTGGAATTATTACAGCGCTTTTTTAGTCCTGTGTAAAATGCTGTTTCAGGATTGCGTTGACTATTTGTACTATTAGTACAATAATTTTTCGCGGCACGTTTTTGAGAAGTAGATATGGGATGCCGTCTGGCCCAGGGGCTTTTCGGCTACGGAGACGCCAAAGACACGATTGAGTTTCCGACGGGATTGTAATATAGGAGTACAAAATCGAGGGGGGATGGGATACTTCCGTTCTACAAAAACAGCGGTCGGTATTTCTATCTCGTTATCCTGAGGGGAGGGTTGGACTTTGTGCACCTATGCCAAAAAGTCTGCGAAAAGCTCACACTTGTCACTGGTGGAAATGTAACTCCTCCCCTCTTTTTCAAGAGCGGGGACGTGCTCATAGCCTTTTCGGAGGCTTCTCAACAGTTTCCACACAAAGAATTGTCACGGGGAATTAAGTTTCGCAATTTTTCCGCCCAGGTGAAATTCCGGTAAGCGGAAATTTCGCTTTGAATGTCTTGTGCAAACTTAGCTATCATTATGCGATCGGCAGGTTGCCGAAATCGTTGCCAACGCTTCCTGATTCGATTTTTCGCCTTAATAAGATCCAAAATTTCCTCAGGAAGGTTGTCACGCTGAGGCCTATTGGGCACTTTTCTGGTTAAAGCTTGTTGTGTCCGTTGTATATTTCTGGTCAGCCCTTTTACTGCAAGCTCTAAAGCTTCGACAGTATCGATTTAGCACGGAATACACGTCTGGTCTCGTAGCCTCTTTCGATATTCGCGAAAATCGAAATTTTCATATGAGTATCGAAAGTCGTTAGTATTTGTGCGCTTTATATCCTTGATTTCAATGCAAATGGGTAAATGGTCACTGCTGAGGTCATCTCCGTGACATTGGTGAGTCCTTTGGCAATTCCAAAGTCAAGGAAGGATGGATTCCTTCCATTGCTTGGATAGTGAGTTGGAGAATTTGTGGGCATAACAAGTA